TTGATCTGTGCACCTGTTTTTGTACCAGTACCATGCTGTTTTGATTACTGTAGCTTTGTAGTATGTTTTGAAGTCAGGGATTGTGATGCCTCCCGTTTTGTTCTTTTTTCTCAGGATTGCTCTAGAAATTCGGGGTCTTTTGTTGCCCCATATGAATTTTAGGATTCTTTGTTCTAATTCTGTAAAGAATGTCATTGGGATTCTGATTGGGATGGCGTTGAATCTGTAGATTGCTTTAGGTAGAATGGACATTTTAACTGTTTATTCTTCCAATCCATGTACATGGAATGTCTTTCCATCTCCTTATGTCGTCATCCAATTCTCTCAGAAAGGCCTTGTAATTTTCATTACATAGGTCCTTCACTTCTTTAGTTAAATTTACCCCAAGGTATTTTATTCTTTTTGTTGCACTTGTGAATGGTATTGTATTCTTGAGTTCTTTTTCTGTTGGTTCATTACTGGAGTATAGAAATGCTACTGATTTATGCAAATTGATTTTATACCCTGCAACTTTGCTGTAGTTGTTGATTACGTCTAACAGTTTTCCAATGGATTCTTTGGGGTTTTCTATATATAAGATCATGTTGTCTGCAAACAGCGAGAGTTTCACTTCTTCCCTCCCTATTTGGATTCCTTTTATTCCTTTTTCTTGCCTGATTGCTCTGGCCAGGACCTCCAGTACTATGTTAAATAAGAGTGGTGATAGAGGGCATCCTTGTCTCGTTCCTGTTTTCAGGGGGATGGGGTTCAGTTTTTGCCCATTGAGTATGATGTTGGCTATGGGTTTGTCATATATGGCCTTTATTATGTTGAGGTAGTTTCCTTCTATGCCTATTTTGTTCAGAGTTTTTATCATAAATGGCTGTTGGATCTTGTCAAATGCCTTCTCTGCATCTATTGAGATGATCATGTGGTTTTTATTCCTCAGTTTGTTGATGTGGTGTATCACATTGATTGATCTGCGGATGTTGAAGCATCCCTGTGTCCCTGGTATGAATCCCACCTGATCCTGATGTATGATTCTTTTGATGAATTGCTGAATTCTGGTTGCCAAAATTTTGTTTAGAATTTTTGCATCTATGTTCATCAGTGATATTGGCCTGTAGTTCTCTTTTTTCGTGGTGTCCTTGTCAGGTTTTGGTATCAGCGTGTTGTTGGCCTCATAGAATGTGTTAGGAAGTGTTCCATCTTCCCTAATTTTTTGGAATAGCTTGAAAAGGATAGGTATTAAATCCTCTCTGAAAGTTTGGTAGAATTCCCCAGGAAAGCCATCTGGTCCTGGGGTTTTATTCTTTGGGATGTTTTTGATTGCTGTTTCAATCTCTTTCCTTGTGATTGGTCTGTTCAAATTGTCTGCCTCTTCTTGAGTGAGCTTTGGGAGATTGTAGGAGTCCAAGAATTAATCCATTTCCTCTAGGTTATCCATTCTGTTGGCATATAGTTTTTTGTAGTATTCTCTTATAATCTGTTGTATTTCTGCATAGTCTGTTGTTATTTCTCCTCGCTCATTTCTGATTTTGTTTATTTGAGCTTTCTCCCTTTTTTTCTTTGTAAGTCTGGCTAGTGGTTTGTCAACTTTATTTATCTTCTCAAAAAACCAGCTCTTTGTCTCATTGATCCTTTCTACTGCCTTTTTCGTTTCAATAGTATTTATTTCTGCTCTGATTTTTATCATTTCTCTCCTTCTGCTGACTTTGGCCTTCATTTGTTCTTTTTTCTCTAGTTCAGTTAGGTGTGCTTTAAGGTTGCTTATTTGGGATTTTTCTTGTTTGTTAAGATGTGCCTGTATTGCGATGAATTTTCCTCTTACTACAGCTTTTGCTGTATCCCATATGAGTTGGTATGGCATGCTATCATTTTCATTTGTTTCCAGGTATTTTTTTATTTCTTCTTTAATTTCTTCAATGATCCATTGCTTGTTCAGTAGTGTGTTGTTTAGTCTCCACATCTTTGTGCCTTTCTCAGCTTTTTTCTTGTAATTAATTTCTAGCCTTATAGCACTATGATCTGAGAAGATGCTTGTTATTATTTCAATTTTTTTAAATTTGTAGAGGCTTGCCTTGTTTCCCAACATATGGTCTATCCTAGAGAATGTTCCATGTGCACTTGAGAAGAATGTGTATTCAGCTGCTTCAGGGTGGAGTGATCTATATATGTCTATTAAGTCCAATTGTTTTAGTTTTTCATTCAGCTCCACTATTTCCTTGTTGATTTTCTGTCTGGATGATCTGTCCATTGATGTGAGTGGGGTGTTGAGGTCCCCTACTATTATTGTGTTGTTTTTAACATCTTCCTTTAGGTCTGTTAATAGTTGCTTTATGAATCTTGGTGCTCCTGTGTTGGGTGCATAGATATTTATAAGTGTTATTTCTTCTTGATGAAGTGTCCCTTTGATTGTTATATATTGTCCCTCTGTGTCTCTCTTTACCTGTCTTATTTTGAAATCCACTTGGTCTGATATGAGAATTGCAACACCTGCCTTTTTTTCCTTGCTATTTGCTTGAAGTATTGTCCTCCACCCCTTCACCCTGAGTCTGTGTTTGTCCTTGGGGCTGAGGTGTGTTTCCTGGAGGCAACAAATTGTTGGATCTTGTTCTTTAATCCATTTTGCCACTCTGTATCTTTTTATTGGAGAGTTCAATCCATTCACATTGAGAGTGATTATTGATGCATGTGGACTTAATGCTGTCAATCTGTCACTCATTATCTTGTTTTCCTGTGTTTCTTTTCCTGTGTGCTTTAGACTACCCATTTAATACTGCAATTTCTTATGCTGGGTTTCTTAGAATTTTCCTTATCTATGATTTGTGACTCTGTTCTGTACTTTATTTTAGTGTCTACCTTGAAGTTTGCATTTAGAATCTCGTGTATAATATAGTCTATTCTCTGGTGGTCTCTTACTTACTCGACCAATACTGATTTAGACCCTTTGTTCTTCCCCTCCTAAATAATTATTTTCATTTTTTATTCCAACTCGTCTTATTAATTTGTAGTTAGAGTGCTAAGATCGTCCTTGTTTTGGTAGTTTCCTTATTTTTACCCTAAGGCTATAGTTGAATATTTGCTATCCTGTTCTGGTTCTATCCATCGGTCTCCCTAGTCTGTGGATTGTGTCCCCTTTCTCCCTTTTTTCTTTTTTCAAGTATGAGAGCCTTCTTGAGGATTTCTTGTAATGGAGGGCTTTTAGTTACAAATTCCCTTAACTTTTGTTTGTCTGGAAAAGATTTAATTTCTCCCTCATATCTGAAGGAAATTCTTGCTGGATAGAGTATTCTTGGCTGAAGGTTTTTATCCTTTAAAGCTTTGAATATATCACTCCATTCTCTCCTAGCTTGTAGGGTTTCTGTAGAGAAATCCGCTGACAGTCTGATAGGGGCTCCTTTATAGGTTATTCTCTTTTTTTTTCTTACTTCCCTGAGTATTCTTTCCTTATCATTCCTATTTGCCAACTTTACTATTATGTGCCTTGCGGTGGGTCTTTTTACATTGACAAATCTAGGAGATCTAAAACCCTCCTCTACACACATTTCTCCGTTGATCCCGAGATTTGGGAAGTTCTCTTCAATAATTTCATTAAGCATGCTTTCTGCTCCATTTTCCTTTTCCATATTCTTGGGAATTCCTATGATCCTTATGTTCTCACTCCTCATTGAATCCATTATCTCTCAGAGATTTTCCTCATTTTTTTTAATTCTTAGTTCTCTTTCTTCCTCTGTCTGGTGCCATTCAGCCTGTCTGTCCTCGATTATGCTGATTTGCTCCTCTAGGTTGTCTACACGGGCATTCAGGGAATCCGTATTCTGTTTTATCTGGTCCATTGTGTTTTTCATCTCAAGTAATTCTGTTTGATTCTTCTTTATGATTTCAATCTCTTTTGTGAAGTAACTCCAGAACTCGGCTTGTTTCTCTCTCTTTCTCTCTACCTCATTGAGTTTTTTGATTATAGCTGCTCTGAATTCATTATCTTAGTTTACCTAATTCCAAGTCCTCAGGACTTAATTCTGTGTTTTTATTGTTTTCCTTCTGGTCTGGGGCTTTTATAAATTGCTGGATGGTAGAGGAGCGGTTTTTTCTCATGGTGGTAGAATTCAGTTGCAATTACAGCCTGTCGCCACTAGATGGGGGTCGAGAGCGGCGTGTTAGCTCTCCGCCTTGGGGCAAGATGGCTGTACCCACTGGCTTTGCTGGGGGGGAGGGGCTGTTACTCACACGCGCCGGTCTCGGTTCAGATCAGTTCTGTTCTCTGGTCTCCCAAGGCCCAAGGCCCTTGATTTATGGGGTCCCCACAGACGGAAGCTTTCCCCCCGTCAGCGGGTCTCCACTGAATCAGCGGCAGGAGTCCTGGATGATCCCCCGCTCGCGCAGCCCCTCCCCCGCTCCTTCCTGACCCGCCCCGCAGCGATCGCAGACTCTAGGGGAGGGAGCGATGTTCTCTCCTACCGTTCCAGCACCTCCGAAGGTGTAAAGCTAGGTTTATGATCTCCGCCTTCTTGGTATTGCAGGTCTCTAATGAGCTGGCATTATGTTTATTCTCTGAAATTCAGTTCTTCCAATCTTTTGTTGTATTTTGGAGGGGAGAGAATCCCAGATCAGCTCACCCCGCCATTTTGCTCTGCCCACTCCGGAACAAAATGTGTCGGAACAATCTATTCTGACTGGAGATTCGGGGGTGGCTTCATCAAGGTAAAGGATGATGCTTGAGTCAGGCCACATAGGATGTAGGATTTCAGAGGCAACAGCAAGAGCAAAAGCAAGGGAGTAGCATGTTTGAGGAAAAGATCAGAAGTGAGCCCAATCCAAGAAAAGAATAAAGGAGAAAACTAGAAACTCAAATGTTCTAGCCTGAGGATAAAAGTAAGTTCAATCCAAGTGCAAGATAATTTGCCACCCCATTCCTGCATGCCCGATGCCTGGGAAGCATTCAGTAAATAATGTCTGGGTAAACCCTGACCAACCCAGTCATCTCTCTGTTCAATTACAGAATGATTTCAGCATATTACCAGGTACCGTCCAGGGTCTAAATCTCCCATCATTCCTTTTAGATGTGTGTTTTCAGTTCTGACAGCTTTATATCTCATATCTGAGACCTGAAAGGAGATTAGTAGGTTAAAGTGAATGTAAAATTTGTAATAAAAGCTAACAATTCTATTAAACTTAATTTTATTTTGTTAATATAATATTTTCTAAGCTAAACTTAATTTTATTTTGTTAATATAATATTTTCTAAGCGTAGTGAAGGGAAACACTTCTTAGGCACGATCACCACAAATCAGATATTCTCATTCAGTTCTATCTTTGGCAGGCCCCACTTTACCCTCCTTTTCTGATCAGTGCTAAATTAAAAACAAATATTTACAATAATGATCCATTTATTCTTTTCTTTCCAATTCCAAAATTCCATTTCTCACTTCCATTTTCCTTTGTATGCAATCTATCACCAGAAAATCACAATTCTAAAAACATGTTTGAATAACACTGTCCATTAAATTTCTTCATTACCTGATTAATTTTTACAATATGCAAATAATGACTTCCATGTTTAATTTTTTTCCTTCTGATATTTCTGCCAAATTCCCTTCTTTCTTCCATTTTGTCTCCTAGTTTTTTTCCCCCCTAATTTCTTCTCCTTGACACCTAGACATAGTATCTACCTTTTACTCATCTAGGTCTCATTTCTATGCAAAACACTTCCCTTAAAGATTTACTTTTTTAAGTTACAAAATATATTCTCCCTCACAAAAACTTAAAAATATAGAAGAATATAAAGGTGAAAATAAAAATCACTTATAATCCAACTACCTAGATCACTATTAACACCTGTAAAATGCATTTCCTATACAGGTACAACCAATGCTACTATCCCATCTGTGCTATTTTCTTGTGTACTGTACAGATTAATCACAGTTTAAGGCTTGTAATTGGGCAAAGGCAAATTTTTTCTTGTTTTTATAATACAGAGGATTTAAATAGCCATGTTATCTGCGAAGTGACCCTCAAATGCCTAGAAAATTATTGAATGGTGCTCTCAAAACCTCTAGATTTGGGGTTTTAAAAAAAGCAGATAAACCCCACACTTTCAATAGCAGGTCACCAATCTGATGATGAGTAAAGGACTGAATGAATTTCAAAAGAAATAGGCAGGAAGGGAGGGAGGGAGGAAGGAAGGGAGGGAGGAAGGAAGGAAAGAAGGAAGGTAGGAGGGAAGAAGGGGGGAAGGGAGGGAAGAAGGAAGGATTAGCAGTTACTTGCAGTATTTTAACAGTAGATTGTTGTAACTGCTGTTTTTCCCCATGAAGCATGCTGTGCATTGAGTCAATGTTCAGTAAATATTAACTAATTTTCATGTTTAAACATCCATTTTTAAAAACCCTAAAATAAATTTATGAAATGGGGTGGGAAGTATCTAAGAAAAGCTGGAGTAGAGGGGTATTTCTTAAAGGATAAAAATGTTAATGGAAGGGAACTATAGAAAACAAATTCAGGAAGAAATCCTTGACTAGAGCATACTGTGGGAGGTGGTCAAAATATGAGTTACAAGAAAATGTTAGGATGAGATTTAATGAAATTATCTTGTGCTGTCATTTATTTCCCTCGTTCTTTTTGGATGACACTTTGCATTATCTCACAAAGCTTTTATGTGACTCCACAAAGCATTTCTCTGACACTAGTCTCAGAAAGGACACTGAGAAATGCAATGCTTTATTAGTCAATAGTGAAGGCTGTTATCTGCACTGAGCAGGAGAGTGACCTGGACAGGTGCTGTGCTGCCCGCTTGCATACCTGTTGTTTTGCTAACATTTTTTCTTTTATTTCTAACTCCATTTTTAACTGTCTTTCCAGAAGGGCAGCTTTCTTCATGATAGTTGCTATAGTGATCTCCTTCTGATGAAGCTCCTCTGTTAGGTCGCAGATTTCATTCCTCATTCTTTCCTGCTCAGAGCCTTGGTACTCTTCCTCCTGATAGAGTTGGCTTCTTATCTGCAGAAGATACATTCCAGAAAATATTAATCCCTTTACTTATAAAGTAGCATAAACCTTTTATTGGCCATTTTCAGTCTTCCTATTCTTTGCCAGGTCCCACTTTATCCCTCCTTTTCTGATCAATGCTAAATTAAAAATAGATACTTAAAATAATGATTCATTCACTTTCTCCCTTCCAATTTCAAAATTTCGTTTCTCAGTTTTCTTTTCTTTCTTTTCTTTTTTTTTTTTTTGAGGAAGATTAGCCCTGAGCTAACTACTGCCAATCCTCCTCTTTTTTCTGAGGAAGACTGGCCCTGAGCTAACATCCATGCCCATCTTCCTCTATTTATATGTGGGACGCCTACCACAGTATGGCTTGCCAAGTGGTGTCATGTCCGCAGCCGGGATCCGAACCGGTGAACCCCGGGCCGCCAAAGTGGAATGTGCATGCTTAACCACTGCACCATGGGACAGGCCCCTCACTTTTATTTTCTATTGTATGCAAATCAACACCTACTACCGATACTACTTTGGGGAAGGTGGAGAAAGTGTTATCAAGCACTTTCCCCCCAGCTTCATTGAGGTATAATTGGTATACAAAAAGTTGCACATAATTAATGTATACCATTTGGTGAGTTTGGACATACACTCATGTTACTATCACCACAGTCAAGGTAATAATCATACTCATTACCTCCCAAAGCTTCCTTGTGTCCCTTTGTTGTTTTTGTGAATTTTTTTTTGTGTGTGGTAAAAACACTTAACTTGAGATCTACCCTCTTAACAAATTTTTAAGTGCACAATACCTTACCATTAACTATAGGCATTGTGTTATACAGCAGATTCTGGAACTTACTCATCTTGTATAACTAACTTTATGCCCATACCCGTGGAACAACCACTCTAGAGTGGTGTGGTGGAAGACACTGGACCCACGACCCAGAGGTTGATGGACTAAACATTTTTTAGGGAGAAAAAATTGGATAAGAGAAGTTAAGCGACTTGCTCAAAGTCATAAAGCTATTAACTGGCAGAGCTAGAACTCCGGACTCTTGGCTTTAAATTCAGTGCTTTTTCTGACTAAATTGTGCTGTACTGTTTGTAACTGAGCACTATCTTTTTCAGAATCACGTTATAGCATTTCAAACTTAATGTGTCCATGAAAACACATCACTTCCTCCACTAGAGCACATGGAGTCCCATATCTCGACCTCGGCTAAACCTTCCATCTTAGGAACCTCGGGGTCACCTTGGACTCCTCCCCGCCCTCCTCCTCCCAAATCCAGTCAGGCAGCAAATTCCATCCCTTCTATTTCAACCTCTCTGTTCTCTATTCCTCCTATCACTGTCTTAGTCCAACCTCTTACATCTTCTAGAAATCATTCACAGTCTCTAATTCTTAAGGTTTGAAGATAAAGTACACAATCCCTGATCTCAAAAGAATCATAGTCCATCGGAGGAAACAGCAAAATACACAGTTAGAATGCAGTGTAGCCATCCAGATCAGCTGTATGGAGTGGAGGGGTGCTAAACCCAGCGTGGGCGTGGCAGGATAGGATTCCTAGAAGAGGGGACATCCGACCAAACATTGAAGGAAGGATGCAAGACAGACAGAAGATAGAGATGGGGAAGGGCTCCCAGGCAGAGAATGCAGTGAAGGCACCGGATCGAGAGAGAGAATGCACACTCAGTGAACCAAAGGGAGTTTGGAGTGGCTGGGACTTGGAGTGTTGGGAGAAATAAGCCTGGAGAGTTAGGTAGAGGCCATCCACAGATATTTATATGAATTTACCCCAGGACACTTACTTTTAAAATTGATTTTTTTTCATTTCATCTTTAAACATTTCAGGATATATCTCTAAAAGAACAGGGTGTGCTCTCTCTCTTTTTTTAAAACACAGCCAGAATACTATTATAATGTCTTAAATATATTAGCCACAATTCCTCAATATTATCCAATATCCAGGCAGTATCCAAATTTAAAATTGTATCATAAGTGTAATGAATGTTTTTTAAGTTCGTTTATTTGAATTGAAATCTAAATATGGTCCACACATTGACACTGGCTCAAATCTTTTTAAAGCCTCTCTTTTGTGTGTATTTGTGTGTGTTCTAAGTCCTCTGCATACATGATCTCATTTAATCCCCACAACCTCTCTCTATTTTGCACACTGGAAAATTAAGGTGCATAACTTTTCATAGTCATGTTCCTGGTGACAGGCAATCTGATTCCAGGACCTTACCCTTTGTGCTGTGCAACCTCTGTGAGCAGAGCCCTAGAAGGTGGCTCACACACTGGCAAGAGCTAGAGTGGGCTGACCTAACCGGGACACATCCATAAGGCTAATGGGATCTAGCCTCAGGCTCTATACCACCGACCCCTCATCTGATTCTATTCTTATTACTAACCTTTTTAGAATTTCAGAGCTGGACATGGTCTAACCCTATCATTTAACAGATGGGGGAAAAAAAGACTCACATGGAAGGGAAGGGAGTGGGCCTAAGTTATTCAGCTCCTGAGAGTAGGAGACTGGAGTGTGAATATCCTCACCCCGAGGGCAATATTACAGGGCTCCCTTCATCTCCAATCTTCTCTCTCCAATTATTTTCCTTACAATTTATTTGATGAAACAACAGTGTTGTTCTGAAGTTTGTCCCAGTTTTGGATTTTGCTGGTTGCATCCCTGTTGTGTAGTTAACATGTTCTTTTAAAATGGGACTTTTAAAATGTGAAAAAAATGAATACGCTATAATGAAAAAGGAATAAACTTATTATTTTCACAACATTTAGATATTAAAACAACATGCTATACTGCAAAGCTTCTTTCTAAATGAGATTAATTTACTCAGCTCTAAATGACTTTTGGCTTTATTAAAAATGTCAATTTTATCACAAAATAAATGACTAAAAATCATTCTATATTGAAAAAAAGAGAAAGAACTAAAACACTTGCAAGAGCCATAATACATGGCTCTTGTTGGTTTTATTGCAAGAGAATGAAAATACTCTCCACAAACACTTCCTGGAAGCTAGAGCTATTTATACACAATTCATGTTAGCTTTTCTGCATAGCAATGCATTATCTAGAGGTCTCCTAGAGCCTGTAATGAGATCTGTGCCTGTATTCTCTCCTTCCATATCAAAACTGTGCAAAATCAGTAGATTCCTTACATTACTCAAAGTTTTATTACTCTCTCTAAATTTATGAGGTTAAGAACAATGTAATTATACTTTAGGTGGCTCTAATGAACCTTTTATTGTAATGCTTTCACTGGGGACACCAGTAAGGAGCAGTCTTTTAAAGTTATATTTTTAAATATCAGTAAAATTAGTTTTGTGTGATTATGTGAAAAAGATAAGGAAAATGATCATTAATTCGTAACACCTTTTCTACACTTAATAGCTGCCTGACAATCAACTCTTTGGGAAACAGGATTTGTCTTTGACGTCACTGAATTTCCTACAGAAATAAGCAGAATAGCTATAGTCCTACTACATGCTCAATAAATGTTTGTGGAATTTATACAAATAACAGCTGAATTTATGACCCTGTACAATTATAGGAGACCTTAGCATTAATATTAATTAATTCATTCTCTAAATATTTTCACCTATTGTGTTCCAGGCCCTGTGCTGGGCACTAGATGATAATTCAAAGCCACACCCAGGTTCTTCCTCCTTTTAACAATTGTTTAGATTATATAGCATTGAATATTCTCTGAGATCCTGAAACCTAAAGACCAGAGATCTGGATAGAAGCCATGACAAACCCATGGAAAGAAAGCCATTCCTGGATTTTACTAGGGGGAAAGGAGAATATACTTTTTGTAGGAGAGTTGAGAATCACAAGGTCTTTAAAGGCAGTGCCCAGGTCTTACTCATCCTTGTACTCCTAGCTCCTGGCAGAGTACCTGGCATATGCTCGGTGCTCAGTGACAACATGTGGCGTAACCAATAACAACAGCAGCCAAGTTTACTAGGTGCTTCCTCTGAGCTAGGTAGGCCCTGTTCTATGCACTTGACATGCATTATTTTACAGATTTTAACTTAAAGGAAAAGTATGGACTCTGGAGCCAGATGGCCTGGATTCAAATCTGGCTGCTGCCACTTATTAGGTGTGTGATATTGGGGAAAATCATTAACTTCTCTGTGCCTTAGTTTAGTCAAATGTAAAAAGAGAATAATATTAGTACCTATTTCATAAAATGGTTGTAAGGAATAAATGAATTAGGATTAGTTAAGCCTTTACAACAGCTGCTGGCACATGCTAAGTGCTATTTAGGGAACAGCTACTATTAGCTCATTTAATCCTCATCACAACTTTATGATGTAGGTACTAATTATCTCATCCCCATCCTAGCAATAAGGACCCCCAACTTGCACAGGCAGCTTCCCCAAGCTTATGCACCTAACACATGGTTGAGTGCGTGAGTCTGTGTTCTCACACTGCTTGCTATAAGCTCCCTCTCACGGAGCCACAGGCCCTCCACAGCTCACAGGCAGTCTCCCAGTGGCAGAGCGAGGACCTAAGGTTTGTGTTTTTTATAGCATTGCACAGAAAAATGTTAGAATTAGCAGCTTTGCAAGTCATTTTATTAGGAGAAAATATAGAAGGAAAAAGAAGGGAGTGAGAAGGAAGATTATTTTCCCCCTTTGTATTCAAAGACTTCAGATCTACCTGGAAGAATGGAGCTCATTATATTCCATACCTTGTTCAATTCTTTTTCATGATTTGGTTGATCTGGGGTCAATGAAAACAGCTCTTTCCTTTTCCTTTCTGGTTCTTTAATAGAAGGTGAATAAGACAACTCAAGTCTACAAATTAAAATGAGTAAAAATTAAGCTTACCTTGATACATTGTTATGATTATATTGTTAATTTAGACCATTGTAGGCTGCAGAGACAGATTATTAGTTTGTTGGAAACATTTCTAGTTATAGAAATTGCAAGTTCTAATATATTCAGATCCCATAAGTATTTACATATTTAACTGAGTGCAAATGGTTTCAGCAAAAAAAAAAAAAAAAAAATAAAGTAGCAACTAATATGGAATTTCAATTATACATTAAAAATTGACAGAATATTGGGTTTGCGTATGTAGATAAGATTTTTGGATAAGAAGAAAAGGCTGTTTTTATCATAAGATAACTTGGGAACCCATTAAAAAAAGGAAATACACCTGACTTGCTTCTACATCCTGGAAGGGGAAATCCAAGGGGAGCAACTACTCCATAAAAGTGATCCAAAATGATTAAATCTGACAGTCCACCCAGAGAGAGCTCAAATACATTCTCTTGCTGCTCAATTTATAAAATGGAATTGCAACTACATGTGGACACTAGAGGGGAAAAGCAGAGACTAGTATAAAAAGTACAATTTCCACAGGAAGCATAAGCAGGTAATGTTCATTTCCACATCAGGGAAGTTGGAAAAATAAAGATAACCAGGCAAGCATGCTTTCTAATGCTGGACTAATCTGGGAGAGTCCAGCGTTTGGAGGAATGCACCCACCTGCGAGTACAATTTCAGATTTCCAAAGAAGTTTTTAAACGATTCCACAAATCAAAAACTTACACCATACAAACAAACAAAACAAAACAAAATCTGACTAATAATAGGGAAATAACTAATGTAAAGACTGAAAGTACAGGGATCTTTTAAAGGTAAAAATTGTGATATGGGGGCTGGCCCCGTGGCCGAGTGGTTAAGTTCTCGCGCTCCGCTGCAGGCGGCCCAGTGTTTCGTTGGTTCGAATCCTGGGCGCGGACATGGTACTGCTCATCAAACCACGCTGAGGCAGCATCCCACATGCCACAACTAGAAGGACCCACAACCAAGAATATACATCTATGTACCAGGGGTCTTTGGGGAGAAAAAGGAAAAAAATAAAAAATCTTAAAAAAAAAAAAAATTGTGATATGCCTGAGGTACACATGTCTAGACTGGATTGCTTTTATCTGCTTATCGTGTATATATATATATATATATATATATATGTTAACTGTAGAAAACAGAGTATATCAGAGTATATACTGCTTGAATGTTGTCATCCAGGAAAGACCATTGTTAGCATTTTTGTGTATATTGTCTTTTTTTCCTATGCATATGTGTATAAATACATTCATGTTTCCCATACAATTAGAATGTACTGTACACATTATTTTTCAGTCCCCTTTCATTTCCCAGTCAGTAGTATATTGTGAACATTTTATCCAATATTCTCTTAAAACATTATTTCAGGATCAGTATTACATTTTTCTTATTCGCTATGATTTGGAAGAGGTGAAAAATGAAATTTCCTATGTTTCAATTCTTCCTAATCAGTTTCAGGGAGTGGGACACTGAACTGAATGGTAAAAACCTCATGATAAACTTGTAAATTTCAGTGAGTGAATGGAACAAATGTCAAACTTCAATGTGGACAAGTTCAAAGAAGAAAACAATAATCATGCTAATATAAAATGCTAATATAAATATATAAAGGAATTATCATTTGTCATGTAGGAAAAGAATGTTGGAATTACTATTTTTTGCTGAGGAAGATTCACCCTGAGCTAACATCTGTTGCCAATCTTCCTTTTTTTGCTTGAGGAAGATTTTCCCTGAGCTAGTATCTGTAGCAATCCTCCTCTAGTTTATACATGGGTCACTGACACAGCACAGCCACTGATGAGTGGTGTAGGTCCGTGCCCAGGAACCAAACCCAGACGGCAAAGCAGAGCATGCTGAACTCAACCACTAGGCCATGGGGCTGGCCCCTGTTGGAATTATTTTTAATGACTCTCAGAACATATCAGCCCAAGGTGCTTCTGCAACTAAAAAAAGGAAAAAGCTAACAAAATCTTAGCATTATTGAGAAAGGTTCTGAAAATGAATAAAAACATTACATTCCTACTTCTATAAAACTGTCATGCATGTACACTTACTAGTTTGGGCTGCTTTACCTTAAAACAGCTGTAAAGAAGAAACAGAGTCCAAATAAAAGAAACTAAGCCAATAAAGAGGATAGAACCACATTCATATGAGAACAAACTGAAAGGATTAGAAACTTTCAATGGGAGGGGCTGGCCCTGGGCCGAGTGGTTAAACTTGCATGCTCCACTTCAGCAGCCCAGGGTCATGCTGGTTCTGATACTGGGTGCAGACCTAGTACCGCTCATCAAGCCACGCTAAGGTGGAGTCCCACATGGCTAGAAGTAGAAGGACCTACAACTAGAATATACAACTATATACTTGGGGGATTTGGGGAGAACAAGAAAAAACAAAGGAGGAAGACTGGCAACAGATGTTAGCTCAAGGCCAATCTTTAAAAAAAAAAAGAAACTTTCAATGGGAAAGATGAAAGCTGAGAAATCTATGCCTAAAGTCTAAAATACAATGGCAGCTGTGAAAAGTTAAGTATCTATCTTTTCATCAAATTTCAGAATACTAGAACTGAGGAATACCCTCCAAATGAGAAAGGTGTAGTTTGGAGACCAAAATAAATACCAACTTAATAAGAGGATGGCAATCAGGCATAACAAAAGAGTTGTATTGGCCAAAGATACAAATAACAGCAAAATTTTGGATTAAATCACCTATTGAAGGAGAGTTGGCAATGTCTGGAATGCAGGATTGGCCTTGTGAGATAGCTCCATAGAAAGCACCTCCAATGCTCTTCACAAAACCAAAGCTATTACCAACTCACCACACTAGAAAAGTGCTTTGCATATAGTATATTTCCAGTTGACTTATTAATGATCGGTGACAATGATATATAGCTTGTACATGGAGCACTCAATAATGCTGACTGGAACCAGGGCCGGACCGGTGGCGCAGCAGTTAAGTTTGCATGTTCTGCTTCTCGGTGGCCCGGGGTTCACCAGTTCAGATCCCGGGTGTGGACATGGCACCACTTGGCAAAAGCCACGCTGTGGTAGGCATCCCATGTATAAAGTAGAGGAAGATTGGCATGGGTGTTAGCTCAGGGCCAGTCTTCAGCAAAAAGAGGGGGATTGGCAATAGTTAGCTCAGGGCTAATCTTCCTCAAAACAAAACAAAACAAAATGCTGACTGGCTAATAGGCATTCTACCATCCTTGGTGAGACACACAACAAGTCATTTTTAGGGACCTTAATTTCCCATTTGTTGTTAAGTGTAGACCTCAAAGAAATGCTAGCAGCTCCCACAACGTTGAAGAAATAATTATTGCCTTTAAAACAACGTAATCATCTTTCAATAAAATATCCCTCACCATTTGGCTATTCAGTTTTTAAAATCCTGCTATTGGTCTGGCATTAGCCTTCAGATTTGAAAAGGATTCAAGTTCTAATGAGAATTAGAACAGCAATGAATGTTTAGAACAGTCAAACTGTCTATTCACAAGCATAAACATTTAATAATCCTCAGCAGTTCCATTTCCTTTGTGGTTATGGAGTATGCAATATCTGTCTGATTGTCAAAGAGAAAAAAAAATCTGTTCTAACAAAACCCTTAATGGAATTGACAAGCTGGTGAGAGTGGAGGCCAAAATAAATACAATATTTACAAGTGAAAAAGTTAATAACAGGTTTACAGGCAATAAAAAGAAAAGCATTTGAAAAAATATGTAATAAATCTTATTTATCAACATATATAATTAAATACCAGCTCTAAACTATAATATTGTTTACAATATCCTGAAGAATGAAAGTTCTAAGAAAATTTCTGACCCAGTGTGTCACACAAGTATCCATGAATCAGAACAGGATATGATTTTCTAGGTAAGTAAAGATATTAATTTTGAAGAAAAATAATCACTAATTTTATTTTTAATACCTAACATTATCCAATAATTAACAGCATGTTAATAGGAAACAGACTTTTTATTCAGTTTCAAATATAAAACTTTAGAAAATATTCACACATCATAGTTTGAACAGTTTTTCTCAGGCTGCTGAATATAAAGAATATACCTTTTTTTATTTTCTTGAGCATTTTGGCACTCGCCTATTTTTAATAATTCTCTGTGCAACTGCAACCGCTCCATTTCTATAATTCTCAAGAGATCGTCACGTGACTGTAACTCATTTTTCACTTCTGAGAGTCCTGCTTCCATGGCCTAAATAGAAACATCAAACATTTGCAATCCTCACATGTAGATACCATGATGTATAATACATTTAAAAATATTTAACACCTATGAACCAGCCTAATTTCAAATGAACCGATATTTAGTCCTTTGCTGGCTCTGTCTTACAGAATTTCATTCCTTTATTCGTTTATTCAACAAATATTTACTGAGCTCTTATGATGAGCTCAGTCCTGAGGATACAGACACAGAATCTGTCCTCAGTGAGCTTGCAGTCTAGTGAAAAAGACAAAGAATAATCAAATAATCACACAAATGTGGTCACACTAGGTACATTTGAAAGAGGGAAACGTGAGTAAAATATCAGTGCATCAAATTTGAATTAATGCAAATAATTTCCAATTTAAACAAGATAGCCAAGAAAAATCTAATTTCAATGTTGACCAACAAAGTGAAATAGAAACCATGGGTTATGGCTCCACTATTGCCCAAGAGGAGCCCTACTTTAGCTGGTAACTAGAAACACCAGCAATCCTGTGAGGCCAGAGTTTTATTTTGTTAATAGCATAGGCTTGAGCAAATTTAAAAGCTGTTGGGAAGGACCCAGTTAGGAGAAAGAAGGGCTAATAGTAATGGTGTCAGGTTCCTGAGAAGGTGGGTGGGGTGGGTCCCAAAGCACAAGTGGAAGAATTGCCTAAAGCAAAAGGGTCCCTCTGCTCTTGCAGCAGGAAAGAAGGAAGATGGAATGTAGACAAGCATATGCATTCGGATATCGGGAGATAAGACAGTGGCTATCTCTTGGCTTCTATCTTCCTTGTGAAGTAAAAAGGCAACATCACTGGAAGAAGAGGCCAAGGTGGGGGTATGGGAGTGATTTTTGAGAGTGGAGAGTTTAAGTAGCCTGCAATGGGGATGAGAGAGTTCGCTGATTGGAGCAACATGGTAGGATTCCTGGCAGTGTTGAATACTCATTTGACATTTGTGACCATGACCTGTTGAGTGATTTTCTCCAGCAGTACTTGGCTGTTCTCTGGAGAGAGCGATGGCAGAGTCCTTCCATATCATCAGGTCTCTCCTGCTCAGTTATACAGGGAAATTAATGGTTTTTAAGTATGCCTGCCCCAGGTCATCAAATCCACTGCCATTTCTATAGATGAGGCAATTGAGAGGCAGACTTGGTCCAAAGTTACACAGCTCATAAGTAGCAGATTATGGAACAGAAAAATCCAGATCTTTTGTCTACTAGTCCAGTTAGAACATTCAAGATGCAAAAATAATCTGTTTCACACAAAATCGTAAGTGAAACAGACCTGTAACTTATTGGTAAAGACAGGGTGGGGTATCCTAGAGGCAGGAGTTTCCTCTGCTACAAAAGGCTGTAGGAAACACTATAGATATTTTTAAAATATAATTTATTAAAAAATTCTTTATATATATCAATAACAGATTTATTCAAATATAATCCATATACCATAAAATTCACCCACTTAAAGTGTACAGTTCAGCGGATTTTAGTATATTTACAAAAGTGGTGCAAGTATCACCACTATCTAATTGCAGAACATTTTCATCACTCCCATCATAAACCCAATACCCATTAGCAGTCATTCCCTCCCCCAGCCCCTGGCAACCACTAACGTATATTCTGTCTCTATGGAATTGCCTCTTCTGGACATTTCACACTAATGGAATCATACAATGCGTGGCCTTTTGTGACTGGCTTCTTTCACTTAGCATAACGTTTTCAAGGTTCATCCATGTTGCAGCACGTGTCAGTACTCCATTCCTTTTTATTGATCAATACTATTTAACTGTATGGCTATACCACATTTTATTTATTTATTCATCAATTGATGGACATTTGGGTGTTTCTGCTTTTTGGCTATTATGAATAATTCTGCCATGAAAATTCATGTACAAGCTTTTATGTGGACATATGTTTTCTTATTAATTCTTATCCAAAAATTCACAAAGGCTAGAAATATAATTGTGTAGACAGTATAGGACATACGAGTTTCCAGATGAACTTTTTTTTACCAAAGCCTTAAATATATATTATTTTCCATGAGAACTAGAGACCTGGTTTCAGTGAAGGACCTAATTGCAACACTTTAGGCCCAGATGTTCCTGGCTGACTTGGAAATAAGTATAAAAATATATTCAAATAAGTGATTTAATAGACTTGTTTGAATAAAGATTTGTTTAGATAAAGTCCCTGTTTCAACCAGTGAGGATTTTTCAGATGAGGTTAAAATTTCAAAATAAACAAAAGAAATGTGAAACAATAGATTAGCAAGTAGAAAGACAAAGTAAGTTGATGCAAATGTCATCCATTACTTTGCCCAATTGAAGAAGGCACTATCTGGACTCCCTGCTTGGAAAGTTTGCCACCAGGGAGCAATCGAACACGAAGCTGCATGTAGAAAAGTGGGCCTGCCTTCACTTGGGGAAGGTGGGGGGCACAAAAGGGCTCTAACTCCAGGCCAATGAAATGTAGTGTCACCAAAGGCTAGAGTTAACTGAAATTCTGTAAAATATAATAATAATAGAGTCCATTTGTTTACTGTTATTAGAAAATAATACCTGTAAGAGTGACATTTGGAGATATCATTAAGGGGAAAAAAAAGTTTACTTGTGATCTAGGCAGAGGAATTTATGCTAAAATTGAAACTTTTTGTAATACACATCAATAATAATGATTTGACACATTTTTCTAACATGAATGAATATGCCAAATATTTTAATTATAGGGGCTGGCCCCGTGGCCGAGTGGTTGAGTTCGCGCGCTCCGCTGCAGGCGGCCCAGTGTTTCGTTTGTTCGAATCTTGGGCGCGGACATGGCACTGCTCATCAAACCACGCTGAGGCAGCGTCCCACATGCCACAACTAGAAGGACCCACAACGAAGAAAAATACAACTATGTACCAGGGGTCTTTGGGGAGAAAAAGGAAAAAAATAAAATCTTAAAAAATATATATATATTTTAATTATAATTCACAGGATTATGTAAATTGACTATAAAAGTACAAAAAAAGAGGCTTTGTTGATATTGATAAAGTGACAGTTGTTATTTAACTTCTGCAATATCTCTGAATTCAATGTTAATACTACTGAGCTGACACAAAAATTAGTGAATTTATTTAACTTACATGTAGCTTTAGAATTGGCAAGCTTTTGCATAAAAGTCAAATCAATTATTTGTCAATGAGGATGCAAATATTCAGGGAAACGATTCTTTGGTACTTGATCCAGTTATTGGAACACTTTCAAGTTTGTCTGGAACAACTTGGGCATATAAACCAACTTTTTTAACTGTAAATTTTACAAAATCTAAACACGGATCAGGGATTTCCAGTGACTACTTAGCATCGAGATGTTCTAAGTGTAAAATACGCATCAGACTTTGAAGACTTAGTATGAAAAGAAATGTAAAATATCTCATTAATAATTTTTTACATTGATTACATGTTGAAATGATAATAATTTGGATATATATTGTGTTGAATAAAATATATTACTATTATGTATTAATTTCACCCATTTCTTATTCTTTTAATGTGGCTATGGGAAAAATTTAAATCATATTTGTAGGTTGCATTATATTTCTATTGGACAGTGTTGCTCTAGTACCTTAATGACACATTAACAAGCAAACCAAAAAGGTCATTTTTTGGGCATAGATATTAGAAAAATGCAGAACAATTTATTTTTGTCATTAACCTCCAGTGAGAAATATCGCACATTTAAAACATATAAGTGTAGTGCAGCATAGTACATAAATATATGCAGTGGAATTAATATGTATACTGACACATTTCAAGGTTGTAGAAAGAAAGTGAGAGGATGTGATTCATGTGAAAATTCAGATGCATCTGGCACTAAACTGTGTTCTAAACTAAAGAGAATTTTATATATAATTAGTGACAGTAATTCAAACTGAAATGGTTGTCTTTTTAAATTCATGTGCAAGATGTGGAACACTGTCATATGATAGTTTTGCAAAAAAGAGAACAGAAACTTCTTTCTGAGTACATGCACTGGTTACAATGATTATTTCCCTCTAATTATTCCCATTTGGTAAAATATAAATTTTGAATAAAACAAGTTTAAGGCCCATCTGTTTAGTTAGAAATTTGCCTAATGGTTTGAGAGAAGTAGTTATTTTAAAATTTCAAATCAGCTATCAAATAGTAAATAACTGATATCTTCTCATTTACTTTTGATTCTAAAGCAAAAGAATGAAACGTAAGTAGAATTTGGAAATAAAACAGAAAAGGCCAAAAAAAAGCATTATTTTCTGCTTGTTTTTCCCTAAATGAATCAAAAATAATTAAATGTTTTCTTGGAAGTAGAAATCTTATCCTTTAGACACCTTGAAGTTTTTGAAGCAAATTACCTCTCAAAAATCTTTTCATTAGAACTATAACATATTTTTGGTGTGTGTGTGAAACATACTTCAGAATAATTGATCTGTTTTTTAATACATGTGATTCCTTTGTAAAGTATAAAATGGAGATTCTTAGTTTAAATTTAATAATGTTCCTAGATTCAAGAATAATTAAATTATTTTTTTAAATGAACAAAAATTTGCAAAAATATCTGGTAAACTTACAGAAACTGGTGGATAAGTAAATGATAGTCATATTAAAATTTATCACTAACTATGGAAAACATTACAAAGTAGAGTTAGAGAATTAGTAGTGAAGAATATGAGAAAAATAACATTTCAAAATTTAAAGTAAGATTTCTCAACCTCAGCACTATTTACATTTGGTCCGGATAATTCTTTGTAGTGGGGGTTGTCTGTGCATTGCAGGATGCTCAGCAGCATCCCTGGCCTCTACCCACTAGATGCCAATAGCACCCCTTTCCCCTGTTGTGACAACCAAAAACGTATCCAGGCATTGCCAAGTGTCACCTGGAGCAAAATCACCCAGTAGACAGCCACTGATTTAAAGGAAAGTCATAACTATTAGGCAATTAGTACTGTTATTTTATAACCTTTAGTATAAATATCAATAAAAATATTTCAAAATTATATTGACTTCTATGAATAGCTGGGCTTTTGTTAGTATATATTCAGGAACATTAATCAATTATCAAGTACATTAATATATGTATACATAAGGAAAAGTCACAGTGGGTAACTGGACTTTCCTTAGCGAGACAATCTATAGAGCCTTCTCAGGAGTGCAGGTAAGCCCCGGGAAGTTGGTAGAGATCTTGGGTGAGGAGATGAGTCATATCCTGTTGGACTTGGGGCAGGAGGGTAAATCAATTAAATGAAATTGTTACAAGATAGGGTGGCCTTGGTCATTAGGTGGTTCGAGTCCTTTAACTTCCTGCTACACGTTCAGACTCCCAGGTTGCACTTTGTCTCTTCTTGTCAATAGGAGTGTGTCAGTGTGATAAGCGTGGGAAGTACAGATTTACGGTATTTACCTGGAGAGAGGGTAGAGATAATAATCTGAACCCAGGATGTTAATTTACTAATGTTTCTCAATGTACACTCTTCCTCTATTTGCAATATTCCTTCTTTTAACAAGACTCTGCCACTTACTTCCTGGAAAAGTATAAAAGATAAAGTTCTAAGAAGGAGCAAGGTGGGGCTGGTCAAGGAAAGCATTACAGAGAAAGCCAGTCATGCTGCCAAGAGAGGAGAACAGAGGCTCTTTCTAGAAAAGGGTAAGAGTAGTGATTTCTATTCTACAAGTGAGCCAAGAACCAAAAACTGAACCTCAGCCTGTGAAAGAGGATGTTCTTACATGCTGTAATCAGTCCAAACAGAATTCTTTTGAGGGAGATTAAGAGGAACTGATGTTAGTGAAGAAGCTGGACCTCACTGAAGGGCAGAACCAGACTTCATAACTGGACTCGCTAAGGAAATATGTTTCAGGCAAACTAAAGAGAACAGAACAAAACAGGTCCGAGCAGAAAAGAGATTTCTAGAGACCAGAACCAAAAAGACCTCAAAAAGGGACAAAGAGAAGTCTTTAGTCTATGCAGGATAACCTGAAACCAGATGAGATTATTTTGGAAGTACCCAGAAAAATAACCTCCTTATTTATTGATTGTGATCCTGGTGTAGACTCCAGCAGTACAAAGACAGCTGCATGATGTAAGTGAAGCTGTCTTCAAATCAGGGCCAGATCGCTTCTCGGCCTTTTGGTTAAGATCAGGTGTAAATCAGGGCCAGAGACAGGACTGACGTCCCATACCCAGGGAGATGTGTGGGAAGCAGCCCCTGAGAGGGAGAGAATCCCATCAGGACCAGCAGTCGTGCAAATCTACCTCCAACAGGACTGGGTGGGCTGACTGGAAAGCTGAACACTCAACACCACCTGACACAACCTCTAGGGCAGATGAGTAAGGGCTAATCCCATTTATATTACAGCAAAGCCAGAGAAAACATCAGCAATACCTTTTTATTTCTAGCAAATGTATAGCTTCCTCAGTGTTTAGTATTTGTGGCTTAGCTTGGTTTGTTTGCTTACAGCTGATTTCTAATTTGTATTAGAATAAGATCCCCCTCCCCAAACAAAGCTAGAATTTGGGAGGGGGGGAGATGTACTTCTTTCAGAAATGCCACGCAGTAGGAGAAGCTGGGAGCTTTGTGTTCTGTCCTCTTGCAAACTGGGGGAAAGAGGAACAGAGAAGAGTATACGCTGGCCAAGAAAGAAGTTAAAGAACTAACCCCATACGATCCCATAGACAATGTGGCAGGATGGGAGAAGCAGGAGTTGGCGTAAGACTAGGAAATGACCCTGCGAGTTCAAGTGGCAGAAGATCCTGAGGTGGAAAACCTTAGAGGAGTTGCCCAGACAGTGACCTGAGAAAGACTACCTTAGCATGGGGAGGGAAAAGCGGGCGGCAAGAAATGGGCCAACTGACACAGAGGAATTGGTTGAAAGAAGCTGAATGTTTGGAGGTGGGACATGGGACCTAGAATGGGAGATAAAACTAAAGAATGTCTCAAGTAACTGGGATATCTGTGAATAAGAAATACATATTTAGTAAAGAAATTGGTAATGACCCATATTGATGAATGCTGTATAACCTTCTTAGTGGTTACAAAGAGCAGAGAGACCAAAAAAAAAAAGATTTTTGAAGTAAGAAAAAAATTACTGCTGGCAAAACCATGAATCACATCTGCTAATGTGGAAGTTACCGCCGCCCACCCCCCCAAAAAACAACACACACAAACCTCCAGGCCACTGCTTGGTAAATGATTATGAAAAGTTAAACAATGATAAGTCATAGGGATTGACCCCCATGCCTCTCACTAAGGTTATTAGACTGTTGATCGATCTCCAACCCAAGATTCCTGTGAGTCAAAGAGGCACAGGTTCAGAGAGAATGAATAGTGGGGACAGAGGGTGGTGTGTGGCTAAATGGTCATGTTTTCAGGCACAGACATCTGTAAGTTCCCGCTGTTATACTGCCCTGGTAATACATTATTATTATGCCACTGCAGAACCAAAGTGCACTTGAGTGGGGTAAAGTACCTAAGGGATTACTGGATTTACTCATTAAGTGAGAGTTACTTACTGAGAGGAAATACGAGCTGAATTTACACATGTAATGTAAAATTAGCTTTCTAATCCATATACATTTTGAGTCATCATTTATACAACTCATGGGCAGTATCAATGGAAAAATAAATAAATCTTCACCTGGCACTGTCTTTGGTACATTTTCAGTTCTTGTAAGAGCTTCTGATTTTCATCTTGTAACTTATTCCTGCTTAATGCTATTTCACTCACAGCTGATTTTAATTTTTCGATAATGAACTCATCTCTTTCATTGGTTTCACAGCTGGGATCTGGCTCACACATCAACCGAGGAATTTCAGAGCTGCTGTCTTCTATGCACTGTTTTTTACCATTTAGCTGAGTTTGGTAACTTTGTGCCTGTTTCTGAGAAATATGAAAACTGTGTCAATTAAATGGAGACTATCATACAGGTCAAGAATGCTAGAAAAGAATTAGGAAGAACATCTTTAAATACCTTATGAGATAATGAAGCTTTGCCCTTTGTAATTCAGTCTTGTGTTTATTCTAAAACCTCAATTTCAGACAGCATAAAGAGAAAATATATTTGTAAAACCTCAGAGCAAAGATGTAGAGTAGGGTAGGGTTTGGGGTAGGGAATTCTTATTCAGCAAGGGAGACGATCTCAAAGATATAAAAAGGGGAAAATTATGGATTCAATTGCACAATTTTGAAAATGTCTCTATGACCAAAAATAAACAAAATAAGCAAAATAAAACAAAAACAACTGGATTATAGAAAACAGTTGTCAACACATATAACAAAGGTTAACAATTTCTGATGTACAGAAACTTCTATGCATCAAGAAGAAAAAGACAAGACAAAAGAAAAATGGGCAAAGTTTATGAACAGGCAGTTCGCAGAAAAGGAAATGAAAAAGGCTAAGAAGCATATGAAGAGATGCTCAACCTTATAAGCAGTCAGAGAAATGCAAAGCAAATGAGACTAATATGCTTTCAGACTATCAAGTTGGTAAACATCAAAAGATTGATAACATTGCTTGCTGGTGAGAGTATGTGTACTCCCATTGCCTGTTCATGAATTGTAAATTACAATAACCTTTTGGGAAGTAATCTGCTGGTATTTATTAAAAATTTGAATGGACAAACTCTTTGGCTCAACAACTATTTCTAGGATTTTTATCTAACAAAAGGAAAGTATTAGTATGTAAAGAAGTATATGCAAAGATACTTTTTACAATATTGTAATAGCAGAAAACAGGAAACAACCTGAATGTTCATCAATAAGGAATTGATTGAAAGAATTATGGCATATCTACTATATATTATTAAATATATGGTATACATACTATATACTATGAAATATTATGCAGAATTAAGTAGAATTTTATGCAGTGACTTGAAAGGATATCCATGGCTTATTAAGTAAAAAAGCAAATTTTTAAAAAGGAAAAATATTTAACTTTCACATAAATATATATTTACATGTTTGTACAAACAAAAGAAAAAGCATGTAAAGATAAACACCTAACCGTTAACAGTGTTTACATTAAATGGATAAGAATGGAGTAGGGGATGAGGCTATTAATTTCACATTAGATTATCTTGTACTGTTGAATTCAGGGAACAGGTATAACATATAATTTAAATAACTTAAAGAATGAAGAATAAGTCTATCAAACAAAAAATGTAGTTTCTTATCGAATTTAATAAAAACTCCACACTCCTTAGCCAAGCCTCTAAGGCTTATCACAATCTATATCCAACGCACCAGGCTTACCGCCCACTACCCCTCCCCACCTCCCACTTGGACTTCCAGCCAACTGGCCCATTTTCCATCCCAGAATTTGCCTTTTGCTCGCTTGCCTCAGTGATTTCCCTCATGTTATTTCCACCACTTGGAGTAAATTCTCTCTTGTCTCAAAATATATCCATTCTTCAAGGTCCAGGCCCAGTCTCACCCCTGCTGGAGAATGTGTTTCCTGACTATCTCAGTGCAAATTTTTCTCTTACTCCTTTGGCCTCTAAAATGATTTGGATTTTTTCCACTCACCTGTCATTAATTATCTGTAAATCTGTACATATACTATCTCTGTGTCTGGGCTATAACGTTTTTGAGGGCAGAGACCAAGCAATCTCAGACTTTCTAAGTGACTTGTCTATTGGCATGCGAAACAACATGTAATTTAATGATACAATAACAGTAAACTTCTTAACAGCACCATCATTTGAGACGTGTAGGCTAAATTCACCATACAGATGGTTCATGCACTTGTGACTTTACCCAGTGTTGGACCTACTCTGGTTATTTCCCCTTAGTTGGTATTTCAATCTGTAAAAAGACTACATGCTGAATGGCAAAGATAGTAATATTTAACCTCTAATTTCTTCTAATTTCGAAGATGGTATTAGATAATGTACCTGAAACTGATTACACTTCTCAGATAATAACTTTTGTTGAGCATCTAAAGAAACCAGATGAGTCTGATATAGTATCTCTTGCTTGTCCCATTCTCTTGACTTTGTTCTAAATTCCTTTAAAAAAAATGGAGGGGCAAACAATAAATTGACGAAAATTATTCATTTTATATTTGTACATCTTCATTCTGAGAAAAAAGTAATTACATTCTTTCCCCACTAGGAAAACAAAAAAAGTAATAATCACTCATCTTGGATTTACTATTAGATATATTGCCTAATTTTTGCTAGGAAAATATGGGATTTGTAACTTAATCCTTGTATTAGAAAATTAAGCATTTTATTTGCTAAAAGTGTAAGAAGTTTCTCTGAGAATGAATGCTGATTACTAACCAGGGAGTTTCAAACAAGTTTTTGCATCAACCAGTACTTCTCTTCTATTCCCTGACCTGACACCAGAAGTGTTTTTCCTTCTTTCATTCTCTACACTCAGTCACCAAAGCTGCTCCCTTATTTTGTTAGGGTGTGGGGCTTGGATTGATTTTGTGACTCTGTCCCCTGTGGCTTTCAAAGCTCCTGTCCAAGGTGAAGACAAAATCCACTCATTGCTGAGAAGAGAACAACCATCCCAGGCCCGATTCAGGCAGTACCAACGGGGTTAACCTGGGGAGGAAGCAGTGGACCTGGCTTGATACAGCATGCTCAGTTCTTCAAGTTCTTGCTCAAGTAGTGTGTTCATGGAGCATGATTATCTGCTCACAACTTAACATGAAGAAAGGGTATGGCTTTGGGAACACCAAAGACGACTTCACTGCTTCTCAATTTTGCTTAGGTAGGGCTGGCCTCTATATCTTATCTTTCTGTCCAGGTTGTAAGCAACTTAAGGGTTTCATTACTTTTGTATTGCCCAGAGTACCTGACAAAGTGCCAGGCACCACTTATATTCCACGACTGTACAAACAAAAGCATGGTATTAATATTTCCTAGAATTTAAACATTTCTCACTAAATTTTGCAAAGAAAACAACATGGTTGGAAACAAACTCTACAGATACTAAGTCCATTCCTATATATTTTTGTATATCGATACATGGCATGCATGTATTGATTTCCACCATCAATTCAGTAATATTTGAGCACCTAGTGCCCAGCAGGTACTGTGGAGAGAAGAGAATTTACAACTATTTCATGATTAAAAGAAACACATTTTTGAAAGAAAAAAAATCAAGAAATATATAATAAAGTAGGGAAATGTACATGTGAACAAATAATTTTACAGTGTAAGTACAATGATAGTGTCACATAAAAGCCATGCAGAGGATGTCATGATTACATCAGCCATCTCCAATAATGTGTCAAATTGGAACATAGTTCATTTAGCCAGAGTGATTGGTGTTGTTTTGAAGATGGTTGAAATGACTGGATTGGCTATGCTGGTAAATAAATACACCAATTTAGAGAGTAAAAACTACCTTTTGCTTAAAATGAGAAGGAAATGGCATTTCATATTTTCTACAGAGAAATGATTTTAAAGAACATGTGGGGAAATTTTCATTTTATAAATTCACAAGTCCCAAAACAATCAGTGAAGGAAGGCTATAAATTAGGACACTTTTACAGTAATTAAAGGTGACCTGAAATTGAGTGGTGGTAATAAGGTTGGAGAAATATGGCTAGACCCTCTTTTAAACATACAATAATTTTATATATTTTTATATAAATATATAATATAAATATATATTAAGTATATATATTTAAATATTATGATAAATAGAATATATTTATTAAGATAAATTGAGATAGTCAGTTTAAAGTTATTGACTTCAATTCTAACATTCAACAATTTTAAGTTAGATACACAAAGACAGAGACTTTAGTAATAGTGACAAATTTGCAAAACTAGGCTCTAGTAGAAAATAGGTAACAATTCAAATCAATACAAGGTAGATAAAAAAAATTGCTGTTTACTTCCAATTTAGAAAGAAGTCTTTGGAGTCAGAAGTCAAAATGTGGGCAAGGTTGACACAGAGTTCATGTCTTTCAGGTAATATTAATATTTAGCATCACCCACCCAACAACCTCAATCTTGAAAATAAATATTTCCCAGCATGCTTTAGGAGCACACAGAAGCATTAACCTCAATTCCTTACAAAGGAAGAAAATAGGTAGAAATGAGGCCAAGAATGAGGCCAAGCAAGGCTAGAAATGTGTGTCAGACATATCGGCAGGCGCTTATAACAGTCCTGGCTTCCTTGGTCTTACAGATGTATTGGGTTCAAGATTACCGAGCAAGCACAATATATCCAGTAGCTATGGGGCCATGCAGAGATCTAGAGGGTCCCAGGGAGTTCATAGACCTGCCTAAACCTCCAGATTAAGTCCTCCATGGCCGGAAAACCTTCTTTGGGTCTTTAAGGTTGACAGTGGGTCGGCGTCATTAAAATTAGTGTAAACTACATTTTATATATATATATTTAATCCCTCTGCTAAATATTGAGAGATGGAATGAACATTTCTTTAGTGACTACTGCACGTATGTCCGGGACTCTACAAACCTCCACTTGTAAGACAGTTCTAACTTTTTATTGTGAAAGTTTTCATACTTACATAAAAGTAGAGAGTAAAACAAACTCCCTTCACCCAGTTTAACTACCATCGGCTTAACCCATCCTTATTTTGCCTAGTCTCTATCCTTTTTTTTGGAGTATTTTAAGGCAACTTGCAGACCTCATGTATTTTCACCCCTGCACGCTTCAGTCTGCATCTAAATACACGCACACACATTTTTTCTTCCATGACTACAGTGTCACCTATAAGATATTTTTAGCCCCATTTATTGGTGAAAAAATGGAATTTCTGTGAGGTTAACAGCCTGCCTGAAGGTCATAGGGCAAATAAACGAGTCTGTCAGGACCTGCTTTAACTTATAAACTGTCATGCTCTTCCACGACAGCATGCTGCTTCCCAATGCTCTATTACTATACTGGGGTAGAAATGTTTGTCCCAAAGGAAAAACATGCTTAGATGTGGACTAAAACTAGAACAGTCCATCTCTTACATATTAATTTTTCAGATGGCTCTAAGTAAAACAGGTACATGAAATGTTTCCATAATTACACAGATTAAACTGTATCTACATAATGTGCTTAAAAATTTTTGTATAAGTACAAACATTTCAAGTCATATTTTGCTACTAATTTCCACTATAATTTCATGAGACATATTTTATGTAAATATTTAGTTTCCTAAATGTAAAATGTGTACACACAAAGTACTTAATATTAATTAAAGGCTTTTTCTTTGTCTGAACAATTTATATGAATGTGGTTCTCCCACTAAACCACATGAGAAGTCAACCAAACGGATAATCGGTGACTCGATCCCTGCATTTCTGCCGAAAGCACATGTATATTACGGTGCACATCTCTGTGCATCTTGTGTGCAACCAGGATATTTCTGAAGCCAGTCTAATTACACCACTGCGAGAGCCGGGGGGTTATACATGGTGCATTTTCCTAGTGGGTCAACTTTACTGAGCGACAGTAATTTTGTATTAAAAAAAATGTGCATTCATTATTCAGTAGAATATAAAATTTGCAGAAATTTACAAACTAAAACCCAAGACTTCCAACAAATTTCTTGCAACAGGCTGGTTTTAGGGCTGTGATCCCATATATTTTTTGCTCTTGAAAATATTTCGGAGGAAAAGTTTGAGAAGGACTGTTAAATGAAGAATAAGATAAAGAATGAAATGGGGCCATGACCATTCGATAGGAGGAAGAAGGAGATTAAGACTCATTAGCTAAGGGAAAGGGGCCAACTGGGCTGGAACATGACGAATAAGAGAGAGGAACAGGTCAGAGTCCTAAGAGGTTTCTCCCTGGGTGATTGGGAGGTACACAACCAGTGTCTATCAACAAAGTAGAAGAAACTGATAGCATTGGCTGGCGGCTGGGGGAAGCTGGAGCTTAGGGCTTGAATAATGAAAGAAATTGAGTGGGATAACATGATAAGGGTCAGCTTGAGGTCAATTAAAAAACAACAACTGAGCAGCCCTGGGAATTCAGCTAAGGCCAGAGGATAGGAATCTATAGCAGAATCTATCCACTGCTACATTACCTATAGGAGAAATGCTCAAGAGCTAGGGAAGAAAAGTAGGTGGTTTGTTTTCCCTAAGGTTGGAGGGTTAAGGGGATACGAATACGTGCATCTGTGACACAGTAAACCTTTTTAGGGGCTGAGATTTTAGAAGTTCCGGGTGATATGGGGTGGCTATATTGAAATGGCACTACCTCTTTAAAGAAAAAACCCTGAAACTTCAAGCCTGGTTCTGAAAACTGTTATGAGGCGTCTTTGGGATTTAAGTACCTAATAGTTAAATAGCCATTAAAAGATTTATTAGACATTCGCTTTAACTGACCCGAGGGATGTCCTTCAATTTCACTCAACAGCTGCAGTTTCTTTGAACCTTTTTTTTTTGGCTCTCCAAAAATGCTGATATATATAAAAGATGTATAAATCAAAGTGATGTTTTAATTCACTAAGTGCCTGAAGAGAAGGTGCACTGAGAAAATATATTCAATGAGAAGTTGATTTGTAACAGTGTTTGTTGCCACAGCTGTACGTGCCATTGTGTACACCAGAGACAAAGAGCCCACGACGACCACAATCAATCTTTAATAGACAGGAAGAAAGTAGGAAAACACAGCTCACCTCTAATTTCTGGTTCAAATTGCTCAGTTCAAAGGGTGTTTCATCTTTGGGGTGTGGTAATTCTTTTCGTCGAAATTTATTTTGTTTCATCTGGTGTAATCTCAGTTTTTCAAAGCTATTAGTTAGTTTGGAAAACTGTAAAAAAATAGAGAATGCTAACACTTTACTATTACCGGTTATTTCTAACTTGATTTCTCTTTGGTTCTTGTCCTGTGTACCTCTTTGAAAATTTAAGTCATGATTAGAAAATGCAGTAAAGCCTAAATGTTCCAATTAGTGAAGATAGAACCAGTTATTAAAACTAAATTATTGAAGCTGAACACAATTCAGCTTTCATGTAAATTTGGGACTTCATTAACTGCACAAACAATGATTCATTTGATAAGTGTTTTGTTCAGTTTTGTTTTAGCCATATGTAGCAAAGCTCATAATTTCAAAAAAACCAAGTTTTTTCTTACTTTTATTTAGTGCCATCTTGTGTTGACAATTTTAATTTCAGTAACTCAATCCATAAAATAACTAGCACATACTTTATTCAAGAAAACTGAATACTTAATTTAAAAGATACTTAATTTAAAATGTCTACTTATTCATGTTTAAATAAATTTAAATATCAAAATTGATATAATCTTTTTCTTACCAAAATTATTTTTATAACTTAGACTCTACTATTTTTTCTGTTTTGTGTTCTATCTTCAAATAATAGATTAAAAGCAACATGGTCTATCAACACCTGTGAGGAAATTTCTATATAACTATTTACAAAAGCTTTTCGTTTTTATATTTTATTTTGAAATAATTATAGATTCACAGGAAGTTGCAAAGATACTACAGAGAGATTCTGGGTCCTCTTCACCCAGTTTCCCCCAATATTTACATCTTATTGAATTATATCAAACAATAGCAAACCCAAGAAATTGACGTCAGTACAATATATGTGTACAGTTCTATGCTGTCTTATCACACGTATAGATTTGTGTAACCACGACCACGATCAAGATACAGAATCGTCCCATCACCACAGATCTCCCAGTGCCTTTGTAGTGACAGTCATCCCCTCCACGCCCCCAATCCCTAAGCCCGGGCACCCACTAATTTGTTTTCCATCTCTATAATTTTGTCATTTTGAGAATGTTATAAAATGGAATCAAACAGAATAGGACCTTTTGAGATTGGCTTTTTTCACTCAGCATAATGCCCTTGAGGTGCATGTGTGTGTCAATAGTTCACTCCTGTTTATTGCCCAGTATTATTCCATGATATGGATCTACCTCAGTTTGTTTGACCATTCACATATGGGGGGCATTTTGGTTGTTTCCAGTTTTGGGCTATTTCAAATAAAGCTATGAACAATTGTGTCTACTTTATCTGATATTAATGTAGTCATTTCTGCTTTCTTTTCCTTTCTAATTTTTTAAATTGAGATATAATTCACCTACCATAAAATTCACCCTTAAAGTATACAATTCATTGGTTTTTAGTATATTCACAAAGTTGTGCAACCATCACACTAATTCCAGAAGATTTTCATCACCTCAAAAAGAAATCCCATATCTAGTAGCAGTCACTACACAATTCCTCCTTATCATAGCAACCACTACTCTACTTTCTGTCTCCATAGATTTAACTATTCTGATTATTTCATATTAATAGAATCATACAATACATGGTCTTTTGTACCTGGCTTCTTTCCTTTGGTATAATGCTTTCAAGGTTCATCAATGTTGTAGCATGGATCAATACTTCATCCCTTTTTATGGCTGCATAATATTCCATCGCATGAATGTATCACATTTGCTTATCCATTCATCAATTGATGGACATTTGGGTTGTTTCCAACTTTTGGATATTATGAATAATGCTGTTAACATTTGTGTACAAGTTTTTGTGTGGATATACATTTTTATTTCTCTTGAGTATATACCTAGGAGTGGAATTGCTGGGTCATAAGGAAACTCCATAGCTATCTCCAAAGTTAAAAGGTTTAACTTTTTAAGGAACTGCCAAGGTGTTTTCCAAAGTGGCTGTACCATTTTCCATTTCCACTGGCAATGTATAGGATTCCAATTTTTCCATATCCTCACCAATGCTTGCTGTTGTCCATCTTTTTGATTATAGTCATCCTAGTGGGTGTGAAAGAGTATCTCATTATGGTTTCCATTTGCATTTCCCCAATGACTAACGATGTTGAGCCTTTTTTCCTGTGTTTATTGGCAATTTGCATATCTTGTTTGGAGAAATGTCTATTCAGATCTTTGCCCATTTTAAAATTTGGTCATTTGTATTTTTATTGTTTATTAGTAAGAGTTTTTTTTTTATTCTGGATACTAGTCCTTTGTCAGATACATGATTTGCAAATATTTTCTCCCCTTTTGTGGGTTGTCTTCTCATTTTCTTGATGTTCTTTGAAGGACACAGATCCTTTCATTTTGATGAAGTCAAATTTATGTAATTTTTCTTGTGCTGTTGGTGCCAAATCTAAGAAGCCATTGCTTTATCCAAGGCCACAAAGATATACTCCTCTGTTTTCTTCTAAGTGTTTTGTAGATTTAATTTTTACATTTAGATCTTTGATCCATTTTGAGTTAATTTTTTGCCTATGGTTTAGGTAAGGGCCCAACTTAATTTTTTTGCCTGTTTGTTGAAAAGATTATTCTTTCTCCATTGAATTATCTTGGCATCACTTCTGCTTTCATTTGATTAATATTTGCATGGTATTTTTTTCCACCTTTTTACTTTCAACTTACCTATACAGTTATATTTGAAGTGAGTTTCTGGAACAAAGCATACATTTGGGTCATATATTTTTTATTTACTCTGTCAGTCTCCACCTTTTAATTGGTGTATTTAGACCATTTCCATTTAATGAATTATTGATATGTTAGGGCTCAAGCCTGATTTTTTTTTGTTTTCTGTTTGTTCTCCAGTTTTTGGTTTCTCTGTTTTAGCTTTCCTGTCTTCCACAGGGTTATTTGAACATTTTTTAGAATTTCATTTTGATTTATCAATAGTGTTTTTGAGTATATCTCTTTGTATAGCTTTTTAGTTGCTGCTCTAGGTATTATGTTATATATACATAAGTTATTACAGGCTACTGGTGTTGACATTTTACCAGTTTAAATGAAGTGTAGAAATCTTACTTCTCTTTATGTCCCTTTATCCTGTCCCATTTAGAACACTGTTGTCTTAAGTATTTCCTCAACCTACATTAAGAACTATGTTAGACATTGTTATAATTTTTGCTTCAGCTGTCAAACAATTTAGAAAACTCAAGAGAAGGAAAGTCTATTGCATTTACCTGTTTTTACTCTTTCCAGTGTTTTTTCTTTCTTCCTGATGTCTCAAGATTCTTTCTGTATCATTTACCTTCTACTAAGAGAACTTGCTTTAGCTGTTCTTTCAGGATAGGTCTATTGGTGACAAATTCTCTTAGTTTCCCTTCATTTGAGAATGTCTTGATTTCCTCTTCATTCCTAAGGATGTTTTCTCTGGACATAGAATTTTGAGTTGATGTTTCTGTTCTTTCAGCAGTTGAAAAATGTGCCATTTCCTTCTGGCCTGCATGGTTTCTGATGAGAAATCCATCATCTAAATTGGTTTTTCCCCATAGGTAAGGTGTTATTTCTCTCGTCCTGATTCCAAGATGTTTTCTTTGTCTTTCAGTTTTCAGAACTTTGACTATGATGTGTCTTGGTGTAGATTTCTTTGGGTTTATCATGTTTGAGTTTCACTCAGCTTCTTGAATCTGTAGATTCACATTTTTTGCCAAGTTTGGGGACCTTTTAGCCATTAATTATTTGAATACTTTTTTGGTACCACCCTCTTTCTTCTCGCCTTCTGGGACTCTGATGATACAAATTTGCAATCTTTTGTCCCTGAGGTTCATTTTGCTTTCCTCTATTTTCTCTTTTTTTTTCAGATTGGGTAATTTCTATTTTGCTATCTTCAAATTCAGTGATTGTTTCCTCTATCCTCTCCTTTCTGCTTTTGGGCTCATCATTAAATTTTTTTAGATTGGTTATTGTATTTTTCAGTTGTGAAATTTCCAATAGGTTGTTCTTTATAGTTTTGTTTCTTTGCTAAAATTTTCTAATTTTTCATTTGTTTTAAATATATCTGTAATTGCTCATTGAAGCATTTTTTTTAACAGCTGTTTTAAAATCCTTGTCAGATAATTCTAATATCTGTATCAACTCAGTGTTGGCATCTCTTGATGGTCTTTTCTCATTCAACTTGAAATCTTCCTGGTTCTTGGTACGATGAGTGATTTTTTATTGAAACCTAGACATTTTGGGGTATTGTGTTATGAAACTCTTGCTTTTATTTAAATATTGTGTTTTAGCAGTCCTCTTCCAACAACATTCAAGCAGGAAAACAGAATGCTGCCTCATTACTGCCAGGTGGCAGTGGAAGTCCAAGTCTTAGCTTGGCCTCAGAGGGTAATCTGGGGGAGGTGTTCCTTATTTCTGTTGAGTGGGAGTGGGAGTCCAGGCTCCCCACTAGCCTTTCACTGACACCATGTTAATTAGAAGGCATAGCTGTCTTCTTACTGCTTCCCACATGGCCTTCAGTGACACTGAAGTGAGGGTGAGTGGCTTTGTTACCACTGATGGGTGGTGAACATCCTGACTCCTCATTAACTTCCCCTGATACCATTCCAGAGAGAAGGGGGAGGGGTGCTCATCAGCACCAGATGGGCACAGAAGTCCCAGCTCTCCACATGGTCTCCACTGACATCATGGGTTGAGCAGGATCTTATTAACACTCAGTGGTGATGAAGGTCCTGGCTATCTACTCAGTCTTCTCTGACACCATGCAGGCACAGTGGCCATGGCCTGGGCTACCTCATTACAGCCTGGTGAGGGTGGAAACTTAGGCTGCCCACTTAGTCTTTGCTGGTGTGGTGGGTGGGAGCTGTAGTTTGTTTTGTTTTGTTTTTTCCTGTGGTGTTTGGCTGGAGCAGAGCAGTTGTTATCTAAAAGTGTTTAATGTTGCTGGGGTATTTTTTTCCTGGGCTTTAGGCTGCAGAGAGCAGACTTTCCTTGGGACTCTTTTTGTTTGTTTGTGTCCATTGGAGTGTCTGGATTGCTGGCTCCTCTGTTACCCACTCTGGGATATAAGAAGCAAAAAAAAAAAAAAAAAAAAAAAAAAGTCCCAGGGAACCCACCACTGTGTCATTCCTTGGGTCCCAAGGTCCTAGGTGGTCTATCTTTTCTCTCTACTTGTCAGTCTTGTTACATTGTTTTATAAATAATGTCCAGGGTTTCTTGCAGCATTTAGCGGGAGGAATAGGGAAAAGTATATGCACTCCATCTTTCCAGAAGTGGAAATCTCAAATATACATAAAACTCGATTATAGTTTTATGGTGGTTAGAAAGAAAAGAAAATACTCCATTTTAAAAAAGGAAGCAATTTCTACAAGAAAGCTTTGACAGAGTTGAGTTATGCAAGGCAGAGTGTGCTCAAGCGTATCCTTGAGATATTTTAGGAAAATGAAATTGTAAATAAACCAAGAATTTCAAAGAAGGAAGCAGTGTGAGCAAGAAGCAACAAAGCATGTTTGCCACAGATTCCATTTTCTGGTTAGAAAAATGACATATTACTAGCTATTATGCAAACCAAGTTGAGTACATAGTACTTTTCTTTTTCTGTCTTTCTCCCTCCTCCCCTCTTTCCTTCTCTTCTGCTCTCCCTCCCTAACTCTCTTCCTTCCTTTCTTTTAACCAGAGAAGAAAAGAGGAGCAGAAAACTGCAGTCGGATGAGTTGGCTGTTCTCTCGACAGTAATGTAGTGTTTCCAAAGCGTATTCTATGAGACACCCGTTCGCAGTGTTCACACTGCAATACTTTACTCCAGTATTAGTAGGTTTTAGTTTAAAAAAGTAAAAGGGTTTCATGGTCAATTACATTTGGAAAATGATGTATTAAAAAAGCTAAACGGATTTGTTAAAGCAGGACTTCTCACAGCCTGTGATATGCTAATGTGCACCGTGAATATCCAGGAGCAGAGAAGGAGTAAACAGCTTTTTCTAAACTCTCAGTATTAGTGTTCCATAGGACAAATTTTTGTGAAGTTGTCATAACCATATTTTTTGGTTAGCCTGCAGCCAAGTAATAAGATAGAACTGCAAAGCATCAAATGGCAAGGAGTCATATATTAAATGCTGCTGAGCACTTGGAAACAAGGCCCCAAACTTTCTAACAACAAACATGAAAAACAAAACAAAACAAACAGAAGTTAAAGATTTGGTAAGCAGTGATTAAACTAGTTAAATAAAATCTAGAGATGTATTGAACTTGTATCTAGATTTTTGTATTTTTTTGAACTTATTCCAGATTGTGGTCTCTTCGTTTATACTCAACAATTATAGTGATTTAATATTTATGTCATTTTAGAGTTTTATCTTTACAAAAAAGCAAGCTGATTGATCTAAGTGTTAAATGCTTGGAGTCTCAGTCAGGAAAAACCTTATGTAGTTTCACAAGTCAAGCTACCATCTAGTGGCGGTGACTGAAATTGCTGGCAAAATGTCTAGGTAGATTTAAGAGCTAGTCTTGTTAAGATCACACCTATTAAGTGGCATCATATGTTTCCTATTCCAATCTTCATGGCTGAATCATCTCCCTAAAAAGGTACTTAGGGAGGAGCATTAACTACTTTGGGCTCCTTTAAATATATTATCATTTATGAAATCCTTGCATTACCAAAAAAGTTGGTTATAAAGTAAAATTTTATAATCAAACCATATTTCCCATTGATTCATTTACTAAGTTAAGCAAGGATATAGCATCTATTAGACCTGAGATGCTCAGATGCTTACAGTCCTATGTGTTAGTGGTGGTTGGGAGAGAAGACTTTTTGCTTGCCAGCACCGTCAGGAGATGTGAGGATAAATAAGAAAGAAATCACTATCCTTCTCATCACATATGCAGGAGCACCGTCATTGATGAAACAGTCCTACCAGTAACAAGGTACTAAAGACTAGTTTTGTTCTTTCGATTATCTGTTACGTAACAGCAAACTTCCATATTTTAAATTGCCATAGAATAAAGGACTAATAATGTCTACGAAAGATAATCTTGCTTTCTTGGTGTTGTTTGCATAGCTAATTATTATCATATCATTAATCGACAAGTCTCCTGATAAAGAGAAAGCTATTAGTCTAGCGCTGTGTTAACAGTTAAAGGGATATGAAGCTGACAGTCTAGTAAAAGAGACAAAATCAACACATACAAAATAACAAAAGACAGGGCCAAACATATAATCTTGTAGTTGAAATACAAGAACTTTTGCTTGTATTAAAAACAATTTATTTTAGTAAAATTAACACAATTTTATGGGTCAAAACATATACCAAAATGTGCGATATTAAATTGTACTAAGTTTTCTTACTTGAGCTTTTAGGGTTTGTAGTTGTCCTTCATAATTCTGAGTCATTGCTAAGTTACACTTTTCCAGACTGTCCAACTTCTGTCTGAGTAACCCCACCTGCATTAAGAACAAAATTTAATTTTGCTTTTTCTAAATTTTGCCTCAAAATCTCAGAAAAAAATGTACAAAAGAAAAGTACAATTCAAATAAAACTACTGTGCCAAACCCAAGAATAAATATTTGTACTGCAGTGCTTAAAATAGCTATTAATAATTAAATTCACAAAATCCAAACCTTGCTAGCACGGTTCCACTGGGTACTCATTAGGACACTATGGGATGGATGTTTGACAAAAGACCCTTATTGCCATCACATTTTAAATTAAGGTCTAGAATTTACTTTGCCTTATCTTTTTGGGAGGCTTATGTCATTGTCGCTCAGGCAGAACCTCTACCGACACACTTCAGCTTTCTTTTAGCCTCACTGCCTTCAGTGGGAGCTCTGCTTTAGTGGTATTATGGAATAATCGTTACATTTTTATAACAACTAATGCATTAAAAAGAAAAATGTCTAAGAGTGGTTCTTAAGGATATGGCTTACAGAATGTGTCTGCTCAAAAAGCAGGTGAGGGTCCTGTTTATACATCTGTGTCATTATAGGTATAGAAGGGAGAAAACAATCCTTGCATAGGCCTGGTCAGATGGCCTGCCTCTAGCATGAAGGCAAACCAGAGGCCAAAAACTAAGTTAACTATGTCAAACTATAACATAGTTGACTATGTCAAAAACCAAGTCGAATTGAGAGGCCAATAAAGGTAGAAAAATGGCTGCTGAACAAGTTGACTGATGATGTTTCAGTAAATGATTAGTAAATATTTCTCTTATGCTTTGCCAAAAATAAAAATTCATAGACACAAAAGCGTATGTTCGATAAAGCAGACAGTTTTCCTGAACCCCTCCACAGGCCCGAGGGCACCTTGCATGCTTCCATAACCACCAGCATGGCGGTAAGCAGCCTCAGAGGGGCCAAGGGCACTCCTCTTAAGTGGGTGCCCAGGTAGACACACACACCTCCTGCACCAAATCCTTTTCTCCCTCGTCGTACAATCAAGTCTTGACATTTCACTTCTTTCAGGAAATATTTTTCTAGCAGATTAGAAGAGGCAAATGCTCCTGAATTCTGCCTCGTGCAAAAACACAGCTTTCATGACTACTGCTTTGTTTCTACAGCAGCAAAAGCAGTGACATCTTTGCTTGCAAACAATATTCATTTCACATATATACTGAGTGTTTGTTTACTTTTCTAGATGGTGGCTAACACTATATGTTTGCATCAGAAAATTTCTATGGGTTTAGGCTCTGCCTGTCATCTATTTGATAGAACACATTTTAGCACACTATGACAGGATTTCAAGCAATAAATGCTATTGCTGATGCCTGATAAAAAGTATGTGTAATGGAAAACATATTCTGATAGGATAAATACTATTTGTAACAGTTGAGGAATTACCAATTCATTAACACATATGTTCAGTACCTCTTGACCTTTCTGATCCAAACAAGTTTGTGCATTTGCCAACTCTTGATCCCGAAGATCTAATCGTGTCTCCAAAGCCCGCATCTTCCTTTCCCAATCCAATTTTTTGTTGCTTACCATGATGTCAATTTGTTCCATTAATTCTTGAAGCTCAGCCTCACAAGGAGAAGCTCTGGCAGTTACAGAAAATTAAAACACGTTTAAAAACAGTGAAATGTGAGGACAAGAAAAACCATTATATTGCTCTGAATAGCTTGATCTTATTTCCTTAAACTGTGCAATTATTTAAATAGGAAGAAGTCCAGAAGCTAGAGGTTAATTTTTAAAATTAAAACTAAAAGCCAGTTTCAGAGCTGACAGTCACGTGCTGTGTAACAACGTTTCGGTCAATGATGAAGTGCATATATGACGGTGGTCCTGGAAGACTAGCACCATACAGCCTAGGTGCGTAGTGGGCTACACCATCTAGGTTTGTGTAAGTAACTCTATGATGTTTGCACAATGACAAAATTGCCTAACGATGCATTTCTTGGAGTGTATCCTTGTTAAGTGAAGTATGACGGGACATACATTTAATTTTTTAAAGACATTTTTAAAAGTATAGTTTCTTCATTATATAATGCAATATATTGATAAAGTCACTGCTGAATTTCGCTCCTGAGTGCAGGCGGTAGCATGCGGGTCTCCCTGACCCCAAAATTTTCACTTAGACAAGGGAGCCCTAAAACGAAAACATATTGCGCAGATTAGGTCAGAAATAAGATCGCAACAAAGGAAGTTAGTTAAAAAAATAAAATAACATTTTTAGAGTGAGCTAATTCTAGGGAAAATTCTAATTATGAAAAGTGGTTCAATGCTCTGACATGTAAAAATACACATACCTATGTCTATCGTAACTTGAGGAGGTTTGATGGCAACTAGGACTTCAATTGTGCCTGTCAGGGAAGAAGAGCAAGCCTGGGCTAGGCAGGAGCATTTTCAAGGGTGCTACAGTGCTGCTCCTCCAGGAGTGGAAGTTGGTGTGATCTGGCTGGTGTCTGTCTGGAAGGAATCTGATGAGGCAGGTACGGGCAGCGTAATGTAAGTTTCTAGAAAGTGGGGATACTTTACTCAGATGGGTGGCAATATCTTGGGACTAGGAAGGTCTATTGTGTTTGAAACAAGACCCTTGGCAACAGCTAGAACTACGGCTACTGAGAGTTGGTGAGAAGACAGACTGCTGGGTGCTCCCAGCGTAGGTTCCCAAGGACCTGCTATAAATCCATCATTCAGACTGGATAAGCAGGTAGATGTTGAAGCCTCAGACTTCAGCCTAAGGAACACACAAGTGTCCAGATTAGAAAAGCAAGTTATTTCAGTATCCATTCCATGTAATGATGAGGCTTCTAATATATTTGTGTAGCTGGGAGGAAGGCAGGTGTAAAATGACATTTAGTTTCACCAAATCAGAATTTTAGGGTTCATTAAGGCTTATTTAGCATTTTGAAAAATTCTGAGGCCCAGAGAGGTCAAGGTCACATATTAATTAATGGAAGAGCCAGAACTAGATCATAGGTAGCTGCTTCCTATCTAAGCTCCTTCCTACAAACCACACAGCAAAAGACATGGTGTTTTGAATAAGAACTTGCTTGAAAAATATAGTACAAATTAGCGCCATTGCAACAGGGTTAGAAATAGGTATTAGAACTCAAAAGAACTCAGAATTTCCAGAATCACTTTCTAAAATACCCAGAGTCAACCTGAACAAGGATGTCCCTTTGACTGATTTATCCAACAGCAGATTCTTCAGTTTTGATATAAGAGGGGTTTTAAGGACAAAGTGGCATTCTAAAGTCTTCTAGCATTCCTCGGTTAAGGCCCAAAGGCTCTCAATTTTTATTTAAAACCTAAAATAAATCTGAAGAAGGAAGTACTCATTCCTCTATAAATAACTTGATTGGATTTTAATTGGAGTTATGCTGTGGGGAAAAACATAACAAAAAGAATGGTTTTCACACCATTTTCTTTTTCATAACAACATGTATCACCCTTTACTGTAAATACATTTTGGCTATTTTTTTCTGCTAGTGTAAGCTCTGGGAAAAAAAGGACTATATCAGTCTTGCTCATCACCATTTCACCAGAGCTCAGCACAGTGCCCCGGCACATAGCAGATGCTCAATAAATCTTTGAAGAATGAAAAACTGAGTTGTTTTCATTGCTATCTCCTTGGCATATAGGAATTTATCGTGCTAGTGGAATTAAAATATAGACCAAAATAGAGTATGGCATAACGTAAGCTATTGAATAAATATTGTTAAATAAATGAATGCACAGTTTATTTCCTGGTTATGACTATGCTATGCAAAGGTTAGAATGTTAAACTCTCAGGTTGGAAGGACTTTTATGAGTCATCTAGTACAACTAATCATCCAGTGTTTGCATATCTTCCACAAATGTTTCTTAAGAGAATCATCTATCATACCCCACTGATCAGATTCAGCAAGTCTAGGACAGAGCCCAAGATTCTGCATCAGTAACAAAGGTATGTAGTGATTCTGGTGCATGGCAAATTTTGTGATCTGTTTTGCAGTATCACTGCCAAGTATCACATCCAGTCTAGGTCTGAATTCCTCCTTCAGGAGGTAATCACTGTCTATGATGGTATCTAGGTAGCAATGAGTTTTAAAAAGTTCTTCCTCATATTGAAGAATTTTTCATCCCCTAGTCCTAATTTGACCCACTGGGACCATTCAGAACAAATGCCTTTTCAACACACTAGACCTTAAAGTACCCAAATGCAGTTATCAATAAGCCAAATACAGTTATAAGTGTACCTCCAGATTCTTCTGAGTCTTCTCAATGTTCAATATTAGAGACTGAACATACAAATAGACAATGGCTGAACATATGATAATAGACTCTGACCCACAACCTCTTCAGAAATAGTCCTAGAATGGTTAGGACTTGGTCAATGACTGACAGCCTCCCTAATTTTTGCCCCTACTTCCGACGCAAGGCCAACTGGGGAAAGCCAAATTTGCTACCCAAACCAATCACATAGGATGCCATGCTTCTAGTTAGCCTGCCTCCTCCAGCTTCCCAATGCCAAGAGCCTCCAATTAGAGCAGAGCTGAACCCTTTTCTTTTGTTCACTGTAAAGCTTTCCCACCTCTCTGCCTGCCTATGAGTCTGCCAAATGCAAGTGATAGTTGCTGACTCCCTTGTTATAGTAAGCTCTGAATAAATAGGCTTCATTTGTTCTCATTTGGGTGGTCTTTGTTTATTTCCACAAGTATCTTTATTTCCTTCAATTACTCATAGAGATTTTTTCCCTCCACCTAGTATACTAGTTTCCACTACCTAGTACACTACCTGGAAAGCACTAGACACAGACACAAGATGCATTTGTCAAATGAATGAAAAAGCAAGTGATTATGGTAGATTTTCAGACACTTCATAATCCTGGTGGCTCTCCTCTGAACAAGTTCCTGTTTGTAGATTTCCTCCTTGAAATGCACAACTCAGAACTTTATCATAATACTTCAGGGATGATCTAATCAGCTCAGAGAGGACTTCCACATCTTTGGTTTCAAGTGCTACAAACTTTTATTCAAGCAGGTGAAGATGACCTTAGCTTTGAATTTGGAAGGGGGAAGGGTAAAGCAGTGATATTATATCATTTCATGGAGAGGTTATTCTTATCTAAACACCTTATTTCTTTTTCATGTGTGCTACAAGTAAAGCCATCTATTCGCTATATTGTGCTTGTTTAGTTTTTGGGGGCTGCTCCAAAACAGGGCCTTATTTTTATCCTTATTAAATTTCAGCTTGAGAGTTTCAGCCTCTCAGTGTGGGTCGTCATCGCTGGTTCTTTAATGAAGCAAACATTCAGTAAGCAGCTGCTTCCCACTGTGTGAGGAACTGGAAGATAGAGACACAAGACCAACTGCCTGTGCACAGAGAGAGATTTGCAAGGTAGGCAGGTACAATACGAGACTGATGAAGACATGCAGCTCTTTTGGGAATAGAAAGGAAGGGTATTGAATACAGATTTGAACAGGGTGGGCTATCATAGAAGCCTTCCTGAAGCGGTTAACACCTGAGCTTATATTTTAGGATCCTGTTTGTGTCAGAGAATATATTCACCATACCTCCCAGTTTTGTGTCAGCTGCAGATTTGATAAGCATTACTTGTTTTAAATATAAACATATATATATATATGTTTGTAAAACGTCCTGAAGGACAGGATGGAGGACAGAGTCCTATGGCATTCTACTAACAAGCCCTTCAGGGTGATAGTGATCTGTTGATTATTCCTTTTACTATAATCAGATGCTAATCCACTTAATTAATCTTACAATTTTTTTCCCAAAAAAACGTCATGTCATAAAAAAACCTGTAAAATATCATGCCAAAGCCCAAATACAACTCTTTCTATATGTTTCCTCATGCAGCAGCATTTCAGCCCCGTGAACCAAAGCTGGTCTAGTGGGCAGGGGTCAGGGTGCACCTAGGCTGAGTCCTGGGGGCACTGCTTCCCCTTCTGAATGCTCACAAACCACTGACAGTCTCTCCCAGAGTCTTACCTAAGATTAAGTCAAACTCAGTTTTACACCAAACTCAGCTTTTTGTCAGATTTAATATCCGCTTTTGAAATTCAATTGTCAATTGAATTTCGATTGTCAATTGTCAATCTTCTAGTATATCTTTGCTTCTTCAGTTTTTCAGAGATAATTAATAGCAGTTCAGCTGTCTCAGTAGCATCAATATTTGCTCCTAAACCTAGTGAAGTTTCAAATAAAATTAAAAAGGCTTATTTAGCCTCCTTCATACAGCTAGGCACTAACATTATTTATATTTTCATTTCTTTCTTTAGTCAAATGCTAACATATGTTAATTACTCTCCTGTACTTCCTCTCATGGATCTTCACAACATCCCATGAAGTAGGTCTTACATTCCAATTTTAGAAAAGTTGATTGAGGAACTAAAAAAGAAAAAGAATCCTCTGAGTCCTCCAGCTTTGGAGACTGAGTGGATTGTGTCTGATATACTACTTAAGACATGCAAACCCTGGCCCTTTGTATTGGGTTTATCCTTGGAAGCAATTCACAAGACAAGGATCCTAGGGTCAGGAAAGAGGTCTGAATGCACTAAGCCAGAAGAGAGGGGGCACACTGAGACTTGCAGG